AAACATCCTAAGTTAAAATTATTAATCGATACCGGAAGCTCGCGCTCTATTTTAAAACCATCTATTGTAGAAAACTTTTTCCCGAACTGTATCTATCAAACAACCAATATAATCAAAACAGCTATTGGTCAAAAATCAACAAAATATCAAGCTGACCTCTCATTCCCGGAATTTGGAAGTATCATAAAATTAAATTTATTTTATTTGATTTCCACGATTATTTCGATGGAGTTATAGGTTTAAAAGACTTAATAAATATGAACTTAAATATCGATTTAACTAATAAAAGATTAATAAACAATTTTGTCGAAATACCGTTCAAATATCGCCAACCGGAAGAAATAAATTTTTCTTTTTCTATAAACCCTCACGAAAAACTAATAAAAAAAGTTCCAGTTAATATTTTTCAAGGAGAAATTATAACTCGACCAAAAGAAGAGTTCGATTACAATATCAAATACAAAAAAGGCAAACAAAATCAAGCAGCCGATGCGTTATCAAGAATACCAATAAATAATCAAGAGTTAAACGCCTTAGAGACAGAATCAATCGATAATAACCCAGGAGATATTGACGAAGTAATCGAAGAATTAATAAAAAATAGAGAAAGTTTACCTGATATAGAAGAAAAAGAATTAGAAGAAATATTAGGAATAAAACCTAAACCAAAAATAATTATCCACTCAGATATACAAATAAGACCACCAAATCCTATAAAGAAAAAAGAATCAACTGATCTAGAAACACGTCATACCTCTCTAGAAGAACCAATAATAGGTCTCCCTATTTCAGAACGTTCATTAAACACTTATAAAAATCAAGTAATATTCACCTACGGAGAGATCGATAATATAAAATGTAGACACGAACAAATATTCAAAAATACTCGAATATATGTAACTATATCACAACGCCGATCAACAGAAAACTTTGTAAAATTTCTCAAAGAATTTATTGACCCCAAACAAACCTATGCTATGTATTTTAAAGATCAATTAATAGCTAGAAATTTTATTATTACTTTACAAAAATTATTTAAAAATACTGCATTTAATTTTATTCAGTGTAGTAAATTTCTAAACGATATCGAAACATTAAACGAGCAAAAGAAAAACTTGAAATGTCCACACGACAAAAACTTGTCATCGCGGTATCAATGAAATGAAAAACGCTTTAACATCAAAATTTTACTGGCCAAAAATGAGCGAAGATATTGAAAACTACGTAAACAATTGTGAGACTTGTCAGAAAAATAAGTACGATCGAAGTCCACCCATCGTAAAATTTAATTTAACACCTACAACATCGAAACCTTTCGAACAAATCCATATTGATACATTTAAAATATCAAATGAGAGCTTTTTAACAATTATAGATGCTTTTTCTAGATATGGACAAGCATATCATTTAAACGCTTTAACAGGTCCTACGATAATCGAAAATCTATACACTTTTATAACCCATCACGGTTTACCTTTGAAAATAACAACCGATTGTGGAACCGAGTTCAAAAACAAGGAAGTAGAAGATTTTTGTAAACTCTATAAAATTGAGATACACTATACAACACCGAAAAATAGTACATCAAACTCACCTGTAGAGAGATTTCACTCATCTCTAATCGAACATTATAGATGTCTAAAAAGTGATCATCCAAATCTTAGTCCCAGTCAATTAATAAAACGATCTATATTAGGATATAATAATTCAATTCATAGCGTAACAAAACATACACCTTTTGAAATAATTAAAGGGCATATAAATAACACTGACCCATTCGATTTAAATGACGAAATAATAGTATAAATTATATACAAAAACATAAAGAACAAGCTGAAGATCTTTATAGAAATATTCAAAGTATAAACGCAAGAACTAAGGAATTAATTATAACAAAACGAAATGAGAAAAGACAAGATCCACCTGAATTCCTTAAATCAGATGTAGTTTATATAAAAACGAAAGCTAGAGGAAAAGATCAACCTAAATTTAAAAAGGCAACGATCGAAAAAGAAGATCAAATTAAATTAATAACAAATAAAGGAACATATCATAAAAGCCTAGCTAGAAAACCTAAGGTAAAGAAAAAATCAAATTTTCAGGAAAACAACGATGAAGAAGATCCAGATCCTGCTGATATTCCTGGTACTTCACGCGAAGACAATTCTGTCACAGGACATCGAACTTAAAACTATAAAAAACCCTATTTTGCCTATGCAACTAGGAACCTCTAAGTTAGTTTATTCTAAGCACACATTTTTACATTATATAGATATAAACCCTATTATTAATCAATTAATTAATATAGAACAATGCTTTTCGCTTATTAAAAATCATGTAAATAAAGAAAACGTTACTAACCATATGTCATATTATGGATTATCAGAAAGTACTTTATTAAGAACGCAATTCTTGATCGATTCAACACAAAATAAATTAAAGAATCTTTATCCGCACATTAGGACAAAGCGTGGATTAGTAAATATTGTAGGAAAAACCTCTAAATGGCTTTTCGGTACACTAGATTCTGAAGACGGACAAAAATATCAAAATGCTATAAATAAGCTAGAACAAAATCAAAAAGGCTTAATAAACGAAGCTAATTTACAAATTTCCTTATCGAAAAACTTAATAAATAATTATAATAAAACAATTGTTTCTCTAACTACAAATCAGCAAAAATTAGAAAAAAGTCTGAAACTATTCCAACAAACAGTTGATAAAACTATATCAAATCTAAATGCATACTTGAATTTTCAAGGCATTGTTTCGCAACTTAATCTAGACTGCCAGAGTCTGATTACTTTTCTCGATAATCTCGAAGACGCGATTATGTTTGCAAAGTTGAACGCCTTACATAACGTTATCATATCAAGCTACGAGTTAAATGAACTATTAAATTACTTAAGAAAAATTTATAAAAATAACGAAGTTCCAAATTTTAAAAATATATTAACCTATTATCAGTTATTGGGTACACAGGTAACATTTTCTGAAAATAAATTAATTTTCGCTATACACGTTCCTATAATTAGATCTAAGGAATACACCTTTTACCACCTATACCCAATTATCCTAAATCAAAATATTTTCATTCCCAAATACCCATTCCTGGCACAAGAAGACCAGTCATACCAATTTGAGGAAGAAGCATGTCCATTCCTGGAAGAAAAATACTTCTGTCAAGAAAACTTCCATGCACGAGACGAATGCACTATCCAACTACTGTCCGGAAACTTCAACTGTTCAACGATCCACATCGACATAAAAGAATCCGTCATTGAACAAATCACACAAAAAGAAGTTCTACTCTTGCCAGCCAAAGAAGAACGAATATATGCACAATGCAGAATCAATCAATACATCAATGTTAAGAAACCAACTTTAATAAATATTCCATCCGAATGCCAAGTGACCATCGATTCAAGAACATATAGAAACGATGTTCAACTAAGAGAAGGAAAACCTTTAATCCTGCCTGAGGTACAACTAGAAAATCTTGAAAAACCAAAGTCCAAATTCGAATATATTGCTCCGAAGCTATCGAAAATCAACTTCGACGATATATACGAGATAAAAGAAAAATTCAATGAACTATCACCGATCAAAGAAGACGAAGAAAGAACCTATCAACCAGTCATCTTCGATATTGCGATTATTTTCATTTGTCTAATAATTGCAATATACCTAGTGTTCAGAAAATACCCACAACTCAAGAAGTACTTTCCATGTTTAAAGAAGAAAGAAGAACAGCATGTTCCAGTCCCACAGAAGAGGACCCCCGAAAATAACTCCGTTATTTTCTTGTCTTAACAGGGGAGGAGTTATATGTATAAATAAGTGTTATTTCATTGTAATTAAATACTGAATGCCTATTTTACATTATGTCACATATAAAAGCGAACTGCACGGTTCAAAGCAGACTTTTCACTCTCTGTACTTTGTCGAGAACGTTTGTAACAATAAAATCGTTTTTTAAAAAACAACTCTGTTAATTCAGACCTCAAAACTCGCTATATTTTGCGTAGTCCATAGTATGTTGCGTAGTCTATATACAGTGTGTCAATTTTAAAACTTCCCACCTTTAATATCTTTCTTTGCAGTTAAAAATATGAAAAACTGGAAAGACACCTCAATTTTATTTGTAAGGGGGACGCTTTAAATGAATATTTTTAGCCTTTTTCTTTCAATCCCCTAGGAGGGGTAGATGTCACCTTTACTATCTTAAATGGGAATGGGGGTCAAGTGGCACATAGTTTTAAAGGGCGTTTAATTCTCTTTTTAGTGGTATCCTACTTTATTGCTTTTTATCCAGAGGTTTCCGAATAATCGCGTTTTAAAGTTTTAGAGTTTATAGTTTTTAAAGAAGAAAAAGGCCAAAAATATTAATTTAAAGTGTCCCCCTTACTAATTAAATTGACGTGTTTTTCCGATTCATTCATATTTTTAACTGCAAGAAAATTAAGAGTGGGAAGTTTTAAAATTGACACACTGTATATTCTGTGCCGTTAGGAACTGAGAAATCATACATAATGTTTAAAACAATAGAAAAATCACTCAAAATACAGATAAATTACAAACTGTTTTATTAAATATAAACTATGTTATAAATAATTATTTTAATTTTATCAAAAAATATTAGCAATGATCTGAATATCTTTATGATAAATTGTAATAAATAGCAAATAATTTATAATATGTTTTTTTTAATAATTTTATAACTGGTCAACTTTGGGCCAACCATGGGTCAACTGAACTACAACCAAATAAGCCAGGCAACCAAGCATACACACGAAACATCTACTGGCGTCTTGAGCGCGAATCAATTTATTTAAATTAAACTACCAAAATATCACCTTTATTTCACTTCATAATCTCTTTAATAAAATTACGAACATAATATAAATGAATTTATGTAATGAATAGAACATTGCTCTAATTTATACTGGAACAATCCTGGATACAATCCTACCCTAAAAGCTGAAAATTATCGATTTTCCGCATCGCAGTCGCGCGTCAACTTGCGCAAGGTTATGTTTTTCCGAATATTGAAATATTAATAGATATTTTAATATCAAACCGGCTGTGTTTATTTGTATAATACATATCCCGACTACTCGTACCATATTTTGTTTATATTACCGCTTAAGTTAAGATCGCGAAATTTATTTGCAATGGGTGGAAAAACCAGTTTAAAAGCAACCTTGGGGGTGACATTTCTTACCCTTCTCGTATCCGTAACCACTGTTTTAGTTTTGTACCATGTTTTAACCCATAGAGGTGAGCGAATCAGTGTAGGATGGTTTCTGGAGAGCACATCCCCCCATATGTGGGCTGCCCTAGGGGTAGGTCTCTCGGTGTCTTTAAGCGTAGTTGGGGCAGCTGCAGGAATACATACAGTGGGCGTTAGTATTATTGGTGGAGGTAAGAAATAGGGACTAGTAATTATAAAGTTTTATGTTGAGTGTGCTTTGTAGGCAATGACAAAAAAACAAATGTTAGGGGAAATTAAATTAAATTTTTTTAACTGTCAGAATCTAAGCTCACTTAATCACAAAACTTTTTAATCATGCAGTACTTTTTTGAGTCTAATTCTAAATCTATCCAAAGGTGTAAAAGCTCCTCGAATCAAAACTAAGAATCTCATATCAGTCATATTTTGCGAAGCTGTGGCAATTTATGGTCTTATTACTGCAATAGTCCTGTCAGGATATTTGGATGATTTCACTTGGTCTCTGATGGGAAAAAATGCGGAATTGAAATCTAAAAACTGGATGGCTGGATATTTGATGTTTGGTGCTGGAGTATCTGTAGGTAAGGTCACAATATAAATAATATACAGGGGTAAAATAAGTTAACAGTTGTTCTTAGAGTCTCTTTAAGCAACTCAGAAAGTTTGAGGTATTTAAGCACATTTTAATAAACAACAGCTTCGTGAGTGCTTTTTTTCGCTTTTTTGGAATTTCCGGAAAATGTTGTAAACAAAAGAAAATTGCATAATAACTTTATAAGACAAACAATGAGGAGTTGGAAATCGATGATAAAAGTTCAAAATTACCTGCAATATCTTGCAACTTTTTCAGAGTATATTGTTCTTGTCCATTTTCCCAGATATAATGAACTACCTTCACCATTTGGTCTGAAATATCAGCATCCAAGGGACGTCCTACATCCCTTGATGGGGAACATAACTTATAAAATTGTGTATGACAATGGTTGTGATATCTGGCACCCGCACAAAAAAAAATCTTGACAAATAAGCTCTTATTAGTGAAAATATAAATAAGTTTGTAAAAATCTGAAAATTTTTATGCTAAGGAATGTTTGCCCGGTTTTTTATTATCATAAAATATGACAAAATTCAAACAAGTTCCAAAATGTGATAGCTGTTCAGTTGATTCTACCTTTTAAGTGAACTGTGAATCATCAAAAAATATTTAATTTTAGCCGAGTTATTAAACAATTTGTCCTATCAAACAATGATACGCTTATGAAATATATCTCTGGAGCGTTAACACTTTGGAGAAAAAACTCAGGGAACAGGGAACTCGAACTTGAAACTCGAAAACTCCTAATTCTACGTAAAGAGTGACATGGACCATTTTTGTAGGTAATTACCCAAGCTTCATTTTGTATTCCAAGAAAAATTTTGTAAATTGCATATTTTGGCAGATATTTTGTTTGAGACCATTTTTTCGGCCAAAGCTGGCCGAGCACGGTGTTACAATTTTCCCCCTAAAACTACTCCTCAAAAGGTACACAATCAACCCTGAAAAGTCCCGGTCGGCGAATTAAGCCGTGGTTTCAACCTTCATTTACTGGACTACTTGACTAAAAACAAAAAAAAAATAAAAAAATAAACTTGCTAAATGTGCTAACACAACTGTTACAAAGTTACATTATTATCATAAAGTATTATAGTTTAATTTTGATATAATTTATATTTTCCAGGGCTGGTTAATCTATTCTGTGGCATCTGCGTTGGTATCGTTGGTAGTGGGGCCGCCTTGGCTGACGCCGCTAATCCATCTCTATTTGTCAAAATTTTGATCATAGAAATTTTCGCCAGTGCCATTGGCCTGTTTGGCTTAATTGTTGGTGTATACTTAGTGTCCAAAGTTCAAATGGGTGACAAAGTTCATTAAATTATAGAATAATTATATACTTAATATCTCCATCAATGCATTTTAGATACAGACCAGTATATCTATCATAGAGCAATTTTATTTAAAATTCAAAAAATAGCTTTTAAAAAATACCTATTGAAATTTCAAAATCTAATATGTCCCTGCATTCCAAACAAAATAGACAGTTAAACTATATATTCACCTATTTTAAACTTTTTTGAATATAACTAATTTTGAATAAAAAATATTTTAAAGATTTTATTTATTTTTTTAAAGAGAACTGTCATCATTGTGATTTAAAATTGTTATAATTATTTAAAAAAATCATTACCTTAAAATATCTCTAATATTTTTCTTGTAATGATTAAAAAGCAAAAAATAAATATACAAAAAATAATGTGTGTAAATATTCTAGTCACTTAAACATAATTTTAAAAATTAAATGCACCTTTTAGTATACAGGGTAACAATTTGAAAACGAACAGTATTTAATATTCTCTTATACTCTACCGATGATAGTATGAAAATTTGCCGAAATACGTCAATTTACATATATCAAGGGGGACAATTATTGAGGCATTTGTTGTCGTGTTACTTTCAACCCTTTGAAATCCAGGGCACCTACTCCTAAAATTTTAAATGGCAACCCCTATTTCTTTTACCATTTTTGTGTTCCTTATAAAATTCTCAAAAAATAATGCCAGTTCATGTAGAATTCTATAAGAAACCCCCTTGATATGTAAATTGACGTGTTTCGCCAAAATTTCATACTATCATCGGTAGAGGCAATATTAAATACTGTTCGTTTTCAAATTGTCACCCTGTATAGGTCTACATACATACCAAACAATAATATTGTGCATGTACATATAATGTAGCATTTAGTTGACATACATATGTAAAAGTTATATTTAACAAAGTTAAGGTAAAGTATGAATTATTTTATAATCATATTGTTTTTAGCGTAAATCTCTTAATTTTTTATAATTTTATTTAATTAACGTTAATAGTATTTATTTGTTTTATATTTATTATACATATTTGTTATTATAAGTACATAATGATTAGTGTCTTGCTATTTTCTTTTACATCCTTATTGTTTATCATTATGGTATAAATATTTATATGATAAATTAAATGTCCAATATTGTCACTTTATTTTTACTTTTTCTTGTCATTTTTATGTTTACTTAAAAAATCGTTATGTACTATTTCTGAAGACTGAAGAGTGGTAAGTTTTGAAATTTAACCAAAGAGTAGAGAATATTTCCTCTAGTCTTTTATTTAACTATATGTAATTAAATGTACTCTGTCCAATTAGCAAAAGATACATGATAGTGCAGTTGTTGTCGTCTGTCATTTTAATGCACGAGAAAATTGCATTTTCTGATTTTTTTTACGCTGATGCAAGATTGTAAATAAAAAAAAATGTTATACTTTCATGACAGAAAAAATCAGTCCGTGTATCAAAATAGTATTTATTAACTATAATTCACGAACTAGAACACCATTTACAAGTAAAATAAGTAAAAAAGTAGACTCCTCTAAGCTATATAATAAATAACTAAAGTTTCTAATTATTATTGAAATAATACTATTAAACAAAATTATAACAGAAAAAATTTGGAAGAACTAAATGTATTTTACATTTTAACGTTAAAATAACAAGATTTAAAGCTTTTAATTTAAGGTTCTAAGCTATATAATAAAGAACTAAAGTTTCTAATTATTATTGAAATAATACTAATAAACAAAATTATAACAGAAAAAATTTGGAAGAACTAAATGTATTTTACATTTTAACGTTAAAATAACAAGATTTAAAGCTTTTAATTTAAGGTTCTAAGCTATATAATAAAGAACTAAAGTTTCTAATTATTATTGAAATAATACTATTAAACAAAATTATAACAGAAAAAATTGAAAGAATTAAATTTAAAGAAAAATTAATTTTACATTTTAACATTAACATAACAAGATTTAAATTTTTTAAATTAAGGCTTTAAGCTCATCATAGAATACTAGAACTAAGGCTGCACCTATACCCCTAAAGACATTGGACAATGCACCTTTAAAGAATGCCAACGGACCTAATAAAGTAATGATTTACAATTAACATAATTCTACTATAAATAAGTGAAACTTTTACCTTCTTCTCTTGCTATTGTCACCCAGCAATGCATCGTACTTTTATACTTAATTTCGCCCCCTTTGAGACCTGATTGCATCATCATACGACGTCTGACGGTGTCTAATGGGTAAGATAGAATCCCAGAACATATAGTTACGGTCTAAAAATTAATAAAATAATCTTTAGTAATGACATCAAGAGGGAAGGCACAATATAATTATATTACCTGAGCAATGAGGAAAGAAATAATTACAGGAGTATTCTTTGGATCTTTTAACATTCCCTTGGCAGTATCAAAGCAACCAAAATAAGCAGCCCGATATATTATAATTCCTTGTACAGAGACATTAAACCCTCTATATAGCCCCATTAAACCATCACTCTTAAATGTTTTTACTATGCAGTCGATCATCCCTGTGTACTGCCTTGTTTTTAAATTTTTACCCACATCAGCCCCAAGTCTTTAAAAAAAATATTTGAATTACTTATGAAACACATCAGATTCTACATATTATCTCTTACCGCGTCCTGGCATAATCCAATGGATATACAAAGCACAAACTTGTAGCTCCAGCTGCTCCACCAGAAGCAAGATTTGCCCCAAAGTATCTCCAAAATTGTGTTTTCTTGTCTATTCCTTCCATGAAAATTTTCTTATAGACATCTTTAAATGCAAAATTCAACGCCTGTGTAGGAAAATACCGAATAACATTCGCCAAATTCCCCCGCCAATAGCTTAAAAAACCTTGCTCTCTAGGAATTCGAATAAAGCAATCAATCATTCCTAAAACCAAGGTAAATAATTTCGTAAAATAGGAATAATGTTGAAAACATGTTAAGAGTGGCTTTTCATACATACCTTTGTATCTTTCTTCTGCGGTAATCTGCGTGGAAACTTCTTGAACTTGTAATAATAATTTTACTCTTTCGATAGGCGCTACCGCCGTTTTTGCCACTGCAGCGGAAATGCCACCCGCTAAAAAATCTTTTATGAAACTCTTCGCATCAGTCGGCATTGTCAAAACGTAAATTTCACAAGAAAAGATTTAGTTTTGCTAAGTGGTTTTAATAAGATTTTAACTGCCAATGATCGTTTTCTTTTCAACTGACAGAGAAAAACCGAAAGAGCAAAAACCGGAAAAGTCAAAAATTGGCGCTTCTAATCTAACCATCTAATAATTTTGTCCAATAGAGGCTCTTCTTTAAGTCCAACAACCAACCAATAATCGAGACGGTTTTTCTTATGACTTTTTTGAAATTTCTAGGCGCTAAATTTAAATAAAATTTCTGGGAGTCATATCACTATTTCCATTAGATAATGCTGGAAGAATTGATTATAAAAGTAATAAACTGTCAAGCTGCTGAAGCTGGAAAATATATTTTAAAATATCTTTCATTAAACATTCAAAAAGTCCGACTATTTAATAATATTGATCAATGACTTTGTATAACTGGTTGCTGAAAAACTGACAATTTCCTGTTTTATATGTTCTGTGGCATAACATTTTAGCCAAATTTAGAACACAGATCAGTGCCTTCTATTAAAAGATCAGCCTACGGGCGAGATTTATGACGTCACGCTACTTAGATATAACGGATTAATAAATATGTTGTAGAATACATGGAAAACATAATTATTCCTCAGATTTTTGGTTTGTATTTTAAAAATGATATATCTTGAAATATGATATAATGAACTAAATAAAATATACATAATATACAGTTAATAACTACAACATATATACCTATTTATAGTAATAAATACTTTGGCAAATAAACTATGAACCATACAAATGCAGCAAATGTTTTACAATGTACAAGTAATGTATAGGTACATAAGATAATGGGTAAAATGTAAATATATTTTAAATTTTGGGGTTTGAAAATCGATCTAATTTCACAAAAAACATTTAATATCTACTAATAGTGATGTATTATTATTTGCATTCACAAAATTTATATGTATATTTTGCAAGTATCAATGTTCGAAAAATTATATTTACAAATAATACAATATTATCTAAAAAAAGGCGTCAGCGATGGTTATGAAATGAAGATCGCTGGCATTTTATATGTTAAATTATTCTAAAATTTTTGATTTTCTTGGGATTTTTAGGTTCGGGAAAAACGCTGATTAAGTTTTCATTTGGGTTTTCATTATTTTATTTGGTTTAAAAAAAACGTTTCGGCTAACTATAGCCTTCACAGTGTTGTGTCATATGAGAAAAATAGTGTCAAATATAATCCAAAAATTACATATACAATATAATTCACACCTCATAATGTTTACTGCAATTAATAAACTAATATAAACTTATCAAAAGATGACCACATATTTTTTAAAATTATTATTCTTAACACTAAAATTATCTACATTGACTATGGGTACGCAGTAAACATTATGTGCTTGGTGTGAATATTTTATATGCAATTTTTGGATTATATTCGACACTATTTTTCATATGACACAACACTGATGGAGGCTATAATGTTAGCCGAACCGTTTTTAAATAAAAATAACGAAAACCAAATGAAAAATCAATCAGCGTTTTTCCCGAACCTAAATTCCAAGAAAATCAAAAATTTAAATATTTAGAATCAAGGTTCAAGAATATCAAATTTTCCAAGATTGTAAAATTCTAGTTAATTATTTTATGTGTACAGTTATTTAGGGAATGTCACGATGTTCATTTCCAAGCCAACTAGACGCCGATTTTTTCGATGATACGGTATAATTCTTACGTAAAATGTAAATAACATTAGACCAATTAAAACAAAGAAATATGAATTTCTTAGTATATTTTTGTAACACCTTTATTCTTAAAACTTAATTTTGTATTGCAAATATACCAATTTTATTGTTATTTTATTCATATTGTATTCAGCCATCACTTAAATATTTTATATTAATTTGGTATTATAAATAATCAACACTATTCAGTAAAAATTACTGAACAAATATATGTTATGCTTTACATACATTATATTATCAAACAAAAACACATTCTTCTTTTAAACTTTATCATTGTCTTTACAAATTTTTTTTTTAATTTTGAACTCAAAATAACAATCTTTTTCATGATCTTTAATACACATATTCTTTATTTTTCCCTAGATCATAATACCTACTTACGTGTTTATCTTACGTGTTTGAATCTATCGAAGCTGAACCAACAACACTTGGAGTGGAGATTCCACAATATGAATAAAATAAACATAATTGTCCAGTTTTCTTTAATACCATCCTGGGAGAATATTATTTTTAAATTTATTAAAGAGATTTTCAATAGAATTGTCTTGATTTATAACTCGTACCCACTTTTCTTGCTCTTCCGGATATTTTAAGCTGCCTAGTATAACTATCCTTTCCACCAAACCAAACACAACAAAGATGAGCCAAAGCACCAAAAACACACTCCACTTAAGCTTTATTGATGAATTGTTAGAGTCTTAAAAAACACACACAAAAATCACGATAAATAAAAAATTTATGGGCACTTTTAGGTTAAAGCACTTAACAAAACGTGTAATATTTCGTGTTTATGAGAAACAGAGTGACCATCATAGCGACCATATATCTGGTAGTACTTTATGTCACTTAAACACCAAAATAATTAGTTTTTTGCACTACAATAACAAATAATACTAAAAATCAACCGACAAAATATGAATACAGAATCTAACCCAATATCTAAGTATGTACAGCTGATGAAGTAAACAAAAGTCCGCCCGTAGGCTGATCTTTTAATAGAAGGCACTGCACAGATTTAGAAACTTTGACTTTTGAGAAAGTAAAGTAAATAAAATCAGATAAAATATAAACAGTGGAATCTTGAGATTTTTGTATATTTTTCAGTTATTCCACTCTTTATTATCATTATATTATTGAAAATCACAGAAAGAGAAGTAGAAATGGCTCAAATGGCTGAACCATTAACCCTTTCTAAGGGTAAGAAAAGATTTTTGTCAAAATTAGTCAATATGTGTGCTTACTTTTTACCTTTTTCAGATATCAAGAGATCGATAGAACTTCTTGAAAAGCTTCAAAAAAGTGGTGAGGTACCTGCTACAAAATTGATTGCCTTGCAGAAAGTATTACAAAGTGACTTCTTAAATGCAGTTCGGGAGGTTTATGAACATGTTTATGAAACAGTTGATATTCAAGGATCACAAGATGTTAGGTATGTATAAATTTATTTAATCTTAATTGAGAATTTTATTTGAATTATTTTTTTAGAGCTTCGGCAACAGCTAAAGCCACTGTAGCAGCATTTGCAGCTAGTGAGGGTCATGCACATCCAAGAGTTGTAGAATTGCCCAAAACTGAGGAAGGCCTTGGCTTTAATGTTATGGGAGGGAAGGAACAAAATTCACCTATTTATATATCACGAATTATACCTGGAGGTGTGGCTGACCGACATGGAGGCCTTAAAAGAGGAGATCAGTTATTAAGCGTCAATGGTGTTGTAAGTTATTTAACATATACTTTTCTTTGAAATTAACTGAACCTTTATTTTAGTCTGTGGAAGGTGAAAATCATGAAAAAGCTGTTGAATTACTGAAACAAGCTCATGGTTCAGTTAAACTTGTTGTTCGCTATACTCCAAAAGTTCTGGAAGAAATGGAATTAAGATTTGATAAGCAAAGGGCCAGAAGGAGACAACAATATAACTAAAATATCTATCAGAATAAAACCAAAACATCTTAGATACAGATGCAGTATTTCAAATATTTACTTCAATTTTTGTTAGTTAATAGAACACAAAAGTTCCAATAATGTATCTTATTTATTATGTAGCATTTAAATTATTGTGTAGCTTCATTTTAACAATAGTAGGAATAGTATATTGTAACTAGGTGCAATAATTATCTCGTTAGTTTTACATTCATTGTCATAGTAGGTTTATGTTTAAATGTTTAACTTACATATATCCATCTGGTAATATTTATCATTAGTTAATAAAATTCCAATTATAACATTTGTATTTATTTTAACACTACAATATATCCATATATTAAGAAAATTAAATTAATAATACACAATGGATGATGTGGTTAAACTTTTTAATAACAAGCTTCACATATTTATTGTGTTGATGTTTATTATACATTTGTTACGATTATTTAAATATGCAGCCTTATTATTAAAGAGCTCAAATTAATGAAGATCTTTAGAAAAGTTATATAGAAGAAAATCTTAAAAGAGTACTCAATTTAACATTGTATGTCTATCATAAATATTTCTTCTTTGTTCTATAACTTGTCTTTTCCATTTGTCTTGTTGGTTACTGACTCGATTTAACACATTCCCTCTAACAGTCATGTTGTGTGACATTGGACCAGCTTGAGAATCCTCCTTATAATATAAATAAATTATAATACCATACAATAGAAGAAAAAAAAACAGCGTCAGAGATGGTGTGGAAATGAAAATTGCTGTCATTTTATATGGGAATTGTCATTTCTAAGCCAACTGGACGCCGTTTTTTCTCATGCGGTATAATAAACCAATTAACACAACTATTAATATACAATAGTGCACAACTCTATTTTATAGAAAAATTATTCTTACATCCTCATTTGTGTGTTCCTGATAATTTCCCCTAACTCTTTTGTTTAACAATGGATCCAATATTATTAAGAATAACATATAAACAACCAAAATCGAAATGATCCATATTACTATTATGACAACATATTGGATTATAGTTGTATTTCGGTTTTCATATTTACATTCACACCTTGGACAAAACTCCTTCATTTCAGTTATATTTAACTGATCAGCCACCCTAGGCAACATTACCACTTCACAATTGCTAAAATACATATTATTTCATTTTCCATTCCCCATATCGTACAATAAAAATACAATACCATTTATTAGGAGGGTCATTGGTAGTATGCATAAGTCTCGAAGTATGTGATTTTTCTGTTTTATTTGTAACCGAGGAAAGGCTGGGGCAAATACACTTACATCGTTTATCATCGAATTGTGCCTAGAAGATATTAAAAGTATGTTTGTTTACAAACTCATGTTTACTAGGTATGATAAGCTGTAAAAATACCTGTGCCCCTTGGAAGATATAAATTGCAAGGAAAAAATATAACAAGTTCCGCATGATTGGTCAATAATAATAATTATGATACTATGATTAAATCACTTGGTTAAATACAACTGTAAAAGTAAAATAAATAACTTTTTTATGTTCATTTCAAAATTCCATCCATAATTGCAGCATAATTGACATTATTGACAAATCAGCTGTTTTTGACACATTCAATAATAGGACAAATTAACTACCCAGACTATTTTTAAAATAATTTATTTAAAGTTAAGTGTTTATTTTTTTAATTTTATACATACTTTTGAGAGTTACTGGTTCTAGTAAATTTTACTTTTTTGAAAATTACGAATTAGAATAAATAAAAAAGGATAATAGGAAATAAAGTAGGTCATAACCTAAACTTAGTAGTTCTATTGTATTGCCATATCAAAATTAGAATCAGAATAGTTTATTTTTGGAATTTATTGTTTATTGTGTTTACTTTTCACTTGAAGCGGCTTTTGCTTACATGGCAGAATGATAAACCCAATTATAAGTGATTTTAATTAGAGCATATATACAGGTAGCATATTGTACAAGTGAGCACATTTTATAAGTAGTGTATCTTGATTGAAGAAATGGCTAGCGGTGACAATAGAAAAGTTGCGTTTATTACTGGTATTAATGGGCAAGTAGGTTTTTATCATATAAAAATATATTATAGTAAAACAGAGTTTATGATAATTTCAACTGGTATTTCTAGGATGGTTCTTACTTAGCAGAATTCCTGTTAAACAAAGGTTACGAAGTCCACGGTATTATCAGAAGAGCAAGTACATTCAACACTACTAGAATTGACCATTTGCATGCCGATCCTTATGCTCATAAAGGTAAAGAATGATGAGCATGTACCTAACTGCATGTTACTTTATGCAGTTAGATACTTACTAATTCGCTAATTTTAGGTGGTAAGCTTCATTTACATTATGGAGATATGACTGATTCAAGCTGTCTAGTGAAGACAATAGGTCAGATACGGCCAACAGAAATTTACAATTTAGCTGCACAAAGTCATGTTAAAGTATCATTTGATTTAAGTGAATACACAGCTGAAGTAGATGCTGTAGGCACGTTACGAATATTAGGTAAGACATATTTTTGTAACAAATTCATTGAAATCTTGCAATACTATATAATTAAACATTAAGACTTTATACCGTATGATCGAAAAAAAATGGTGTCCAGGTGGCTGGGAAATAATGATCATGATATTCCCCATATACCTAATTTTACATATAAAATACCAGCCATCTTTATTACATACATTTCATCAATTGTCATTTCGACGCCATTTTTTTTCGATTATAGGGTATTTGTTTGGGCTATGATGTATGATTAGGGGTTCAAATTATTTTAGAAGTGCCCATTCATATTACTGGTTAATTATATCTCTATTTAAATCTTTCTTAAAAGTTGTATAATCAATAAAAGTTGGCGCGCGTTTGTGGCACGTATTCAAATTACAATATAACAAATAAATAAATCTTTATTTAGCTAAAAGCTATTACAAAAAACCTATAACTTATAATTATTACAATATCATGTGATTCTTAAGGTAAAGTCTTATATTATATTTAAATTCTTTTACATTAGCGGAACGTTTTACATTAGTTGGTAAGCTATTGTATGACATCACACCACTGATAAATAATGACTTCATTAGAAAGTTACTTTTAAACTTTGGTACATGGTATTCATTTCCTGTTCTCAAATTATATGATCGATAATATGATAATAACATACATAAATAGATTAACAAATTCTAATTAAACGAAGCTTTTAGCAAGTTTTCTGGATGAAAGCTGAAAAATGTAAAGTTCTAATTGGTTAACATTAGTCTTTATTTTTTGTCAAATTCTACTCACAGTCCATAAACTGATATTGAACATTGACTGCAGCTGCAACATGCTGAAAGATCTACAGGGTGGCCCATTAGAGCGAGGAAGCCCAATATCGTCGTCGTTGTCGAAGATATGAAAATTTTTTTTTACAGATGTTGCATGGTTTATAAAGGGGCATATCCTAAAATATTTTGTTTTATACAGGGTGTGCCAAAAAAGTTATGTTAAAATTTTAAGCTTTTTTAAATTCCACCTTTCGTTTTTCTGTACAGGTTTGAATCCAGCATAAAATTTTGCATATAGCACATTATTTTTATTTGAAGCTCTATGCGGAGTTGCCGTTCTTTTCCATATTTACTGAAACTTTGGTGAAAAACACTATATCCGAAAGATAGTTAACAACTGGAGTGAATATATAACTTTATTAATACTTATCTATATTTCCTTAAACATCAACGATTACAGAATAAACCAGCGAAGTAAAATTTACATTTTTTATACAGAGTAATTTCTATGGTGTCGCCAATATCGCAATATTTTAATTTTAATGCTCTATCTCAATTTTTTTAAATGCAACACTCTGTATATTATTTTTCTTTTAAATGCATCAGTATTAAAAATAAATGTTTTTTGTATCTAAAGTTTTCCTAAATTAAAAATAATAGTAAATATAATATAAGAAAATATAATAAACAGTAAATTTTTATAAAAGCCACGTAAAGGAGGGTCCACATTTAGTAACATGTTATATAACATTGCTATTTAACAAGCTACATGTAACATGTTAAAAAACCGGGAGCCGTCCACATTATAGTTTTCGTAGTCATGAATCGTTTTGGCGAGAAAGAGGTTCAGCTCGCAGCAGCGGCGTGCGTAATTATTTTTGAACTAAGGGAAAGAAAGACGAGAAAAAAGCGGTTTTGAGTCCGCCATAGCCTACCAGCAAGATCTAGATACAGTTGAACTCAATTAGCTTATCTTTTCAATACTTGCCTCGGCTGTTTCTCGTGGTGTGTTTCTGTCTTTTAAAAACAATAATTTACAGTACGTCTCATCTGCTGGATCTGTGTCTATGAGAGGAATGCGGACAAAAAACATTTAAATAAACAGCAATATATTCTATACGTCAATTTGACGAGTGCGTCACCGCAAATCGCTCCGCCCGGCCCACTCATTTTATTGGCTACTTGCAAATTTGTCGAATTTTTACTGATGGGACGCGTCGTCTATTTTTTACGAAAAACATCGAGAGAATATCGTTTCCCCTCTCACGGATACCCCGTAGCTACAGAACGGACAGACGTACTGTAAAAGCAAAAGCAAACCATTTTGAATTATCCACTTCATCTAAACCATGCAGTTCCTGATTTGCATTTCTTTTGTTCCCGCTGGAACTGACCTATTAGATTACGCATTTTTTCTCAATTTTTTCTGTTTCTAAATGCATACTATGAAATGAAAATCGCTGTCATTTTATATGTAAAATTATATGGGGAATGTCATCGATCGTCATGTCCAAGCCAACTGGACGGGAGGCCGACGCCGACAGGACGCAGTTTTTTTTTCGATCATACGGTATTATTGACCAGTAAATAAACAAACCAATATCAGCTCACCACACTAAGATTCTGTCGCGCACGTCCCTGAAAATATGAGCGGCTAAACTAGAAATTTAGCAAGTGTGGACGCGTTGTTTCATGTTACAATAGCAATGTTGCACAACATCTTTTGATCTTTACCGACTACAAATGGATAACATCTAGCAAGTTATATAGCATCGAAATTTGCTAAATATAACTAAAAAATATGTAACATGTTACATAACTTTGCTATATAGCAGTGTTATATAGCAAGTGTGGACCGTCCTTAATATGATCTTTGTCTGGTATTTTACCATTGAAAATCCTATATGTAACATACAGCGACTATTTGCAAAACCCCCCAAAAAAATTAGGAACACTTTAAATACAAAAAAATGTCAATTTTTTAATTCCGCGTCTAAACCAAAAATAATATACACGCTGTTGCATTTAAAAAAGTAGAGATATAACATTTTAAATATTCCAATTTTGGCGACGCCATAAAAATACCCTGTATAGGATAATGTAAATTTTCCTTTGCAGATTTATTCTGTGAACCTTGGTGTTTAGGAAAATAGAGTTAAGTATTAATAAAGCTAGATTCGCTCCTTTTTTTAACCACTTTTCGGATATTGTTTTTTAACCAAATTTTTAGTAAATAAGAAATAGAATGACAACATCGCATAGTGCTTCAAAGAAAAATAGTGTACTATATGCAGAATTTTATGCTGAGTCCAATTGTCTACAGAAAAATGAGGGATGCATTTTTTTTACAAGGGCAAAATTAAAAAAAAAACTTAAAACTTTATTATGAATTTAATTATTAAAAAACAACTTAAAACTTAACTTTTTTTTGACACTCTGTATACAACAAATTATTTTTAGGATATGAACCATTATAAAAAACATGCAAATCAGTATAAATCTTTTTTTTTCATATTTTCAGCCACACTGATAATAATGAACTTTCTCGTACTAATGGGCCATCCTCTATATACAGGGTGAGTCTTAAATAAGTGCAAATATTTTCAGTGCTGATAGATCTTGATAAAAGAAACATAATTTCTCTTTACCGTTTTTCAAATAAATCTAAAATATCCGAGTTAATTTACTTTGAAAATTTCCATTTCCAAAAATAATTTTTTGCTAAAATTTTGACTGGATCTTTTCTGGATTTTTTTTTGTAAATTTTATCTTTTACCTATATTGCCATATTATTAACAAATTATGTTTTGTAACTAAAAACTAAAAAAGGATTCGTAAATTTTTTTCAAAAAATTCAAACTTTTTTAAAATTTTTTTCGCAAAAAGAACTTTATAATCGTGTTGCTGGGGTCGAAATATACTACCCCTAAAAATATTTGCACCTATTTAAGACTCACCCTGTATATTTTCAACAAAAAAGGCAAAACCTCGGACAAAACTTAAACAATAATATTAATTTTTACTTCTCTAACGCAGTTTAACTTGGCAGTTTAACGGCAAAAGAGACTGGCCACTGATCTCTTTCCTGATCAAAATAATTGAGTAGAGCAAGACAAGTTGCTGATTCTGACTATTTAGTGACTGTTTAGTTAGCATTTTATATTAAGGAAAAAATTGTGTGTGCACTATGTGCGCATCTTTGAAATGAAACTTCTTAGTTCCGTCTGTCTGTCTGTCCGTCTGCCCATCTGTCCGTTTGAGAACTCCATTCGGGTACTTTTATCCACCTGCCGAGTTTTGTTTAAATCGACCCATAATTAAGAGAAAAATCCTGATGATTTCGTCCATTTACAGACATCGGCATCGGTTCGAAATGTCGAGGGCGTCATCCTGTAGCCCGTCCGCAATTATGCAGAAATCGACCTACATTTTTCTTCAATATGAAATCGTTAGTCCCACCCTGATGAAGATGTAAACGAAATGTCATATCCAACTTTGCAGGATGAGACCGTGTGTACCGTCGCTCACATAACCTACCAGAGATAACCTACCCACCAAATTTGGTCGCGATCGGACGACATCAACTTTTGATATGTCTTACGTCAAAACTTACTATTACAGTGACACTTTTCGTACACGGTTAGCTAGCGAGGTTTCGTTAAAGTTAGTCTTGGTCTAATCTATTGACATACCAAAATTCATTTAAATCGGACGATTTTTTGATTTGATTCATTGATGATGGAAAGATTATGAAAAGAAATATCATGAAAAGGGGAATGTAGAGAAACTCGGAATGTAGATGGGGCTCGAAGGGTCTCGAAGAGTTTCAGACCCCTCTAGCTCGCATAGGACCCGATTTACGACGCTCCAAGATCGTAACCACTTTTCCTCTCGCGTCTCGTGTGCATGGCCTCCAATTTTAGTCCCAGCCAATTTATACTGATTTCTCTATATTTAGGTTTTTAAAATTGATACACTCTGTATTGCTTCAAAGATCAAAACTGAATACCATAATTTTACAGATGCTATAAGAACTTGTGGACTAGAAAATTACTCAAAGTTCTACCAAGCATCAACCAGTGAACTTTACGGAGCAGTGAAAGAAACTCCACAAAATGAAGATACACCCTTCAATCCACAGTCACCTTATGGTTTGTACACACAACTCAACTTTAATTACGAAATTCTATAAATTAATTTATAGCTTGTGCAAAACTCTATGCATACTGGATTGTCAAAAACTACAGGGATGCCTACAACATGTTTGCATGCAATGGTATTTTATTCAATCATGAGAGTCCGAGAAGAGGCGAGACGTTTGTGACCAGGAAGATTACAAGAGAAGTGGCAAAAATAAGTTTAGGGCTATGTGAATGCTTGACTTTGGGTAGATTGGATTCAAAAAGAGATTGGGGACATGCTAGGGATTATGTTGAGGTAAGTTATGTGTGGGTATAGAAAAATATGGCTTAGGACAAATAATTACCTAACTAAAATCTGTCTAAATTGAGGATGCTCGCAGTGACAGTTGTGTATTATTTTAAACCAGGTAAATTTAAATTTTTACATTTTTTGGATTTGTTGAGGAAATATTTCACGAATCGTTGGACAGACTTTATACAGAAGTGACATGAGCAATTTTTTTAGTGAACCAATTTTTTTTATCTACAACCGTTTAGTTACAACGTTTTTACATCACTATTTTTTTAGTATTTCAGTTACGTTATGAGATTCATAACACAACTAGTGGTGTTATGAATCTATAACACAACTAGTTTTTATAATAATGAAAAACAACTACGAACATCTAAATATATTAATTTTTGATACAAATTCCTACTACTAATTATTATAAATATTAATAACACATTTTTTACACTTCTTAAAAACAATTCCTGCTGCTGATGATGATGACGATATGATAATAGTGACGGTCTAACTGAAATATGACAAAAAAGTGTCATAGTTAAAGGTGGGCCACTAAGAAATGAAAATTAAAGCAGCATTTTCTTATTTTTCGGTTGTAGATAAAACGTTGCACATGACACGTGCGTTTAAACACGATTACAACACTCGTGTGAATAGAACGACTCGGTCTACAATCGTTCACACTCATTGTTGTAATCATGTTCATAAACACACTTGTACTGTACATAACTATTGTAAATTTACTTGTCATATTTTTAGGGTATAATTTTAATGACGCTATTTGTCAGATTTTTATTTATTATTTGACTAGCGTGTACCAGCGACTTCGTTCGCCTCGAATTAATAATTTGTAATGGTGATGATAAAGCAAAGCAAGAATTTCCATTAACATACAAACTGGATAAAATTTTCTCACACTTATGTCAGCATGAGAAAAAACAATATGGCGATATTATTATATAACTTGGTAATATTTGAGGGGTAGTTTCACCTCGTTGGAATTTGACTTTCGAAAAATCCGGTTTCCAAAAATAAGCTTTTTACGTCAAGCAGGTTAAGCAGAATCGTGGTTAAGAAATTACTCAACTTTTTGGAACACCCTGTATGATTTTTTAAAAAATTTCAAATTATGTAAAAAAACCAAATAAATTATGCTTGTCCAAACGTTTTCCCGAAAGACTAACCGTTTTTTAAATAACAAATATTGTAATATTTGAGGGGCGTTTTTACCCTCTTGGAATTTGAGATTCGAGAAACCCCTCCTTATCGAACCTCTACACCCCACAGTCAATCCGTTTGCCAAAAATCAGCTTTAAACGTCAAGCAGTTTAAGCAGAATCGTGATTACCCAATGGTCATATTTTTATGAAACACCCTGTATAAATTTATAAAAAATCTTAAAATACTATGTAAAAGAACAAAATAAAATATACGTGTTTAAGAGTTTTTCCGAAAAACTCACTTGTTTTTAAGTAAAAAATATTTTAATATTTGAGGGATAGTTTCACCCCCTTAGAATTCGAGTTTCGAAAAATCCCTTCTTATCGAACTTCTACACCCCAAAGTCAATCTGTTTTCCAAAAATCATCTTTTTACGTCAAGCGCTTTAAGCAGGATCGTGATTAATCAATGACCAGATTTTTCGAAACACCCTCTATAATATATATTTTTAAAAAATCTTAAAATATGTAAAAAAAGGGGTGGTTTCACCCTCTTGGAACTGGAATTTCGAAAAATCCCTTCTTATCGAACCTCTACACCCTAGAATCAACCTGTATGCCAAAATTGAGCTTCTTAGTTGAGTGATTTTGAGCAGGATCGTGATTAATCAGTATGTCAGTCACTTAAGGATTTTATATATTAGCACTGTTATCTGTGATATTAGTATAGATTGGCAATGTTGAACGTGCTCAAAAACGTAATTATTATGAAAAGCTATTTTTTTCAGATCTAAGCTTCTTTAAAAAATGCTGTTTATTATTAATTAGAAAAAAAAAATATTTTTCATATTAGAAATAGATAACAGTGAACACACAAGATTACAAATTTATGAGAAGATTATTAAATTATATTTTACAATGCAATAAAAAATCAAGCCTGCTTTATGATGACTAATAATGCTTTATGATGACAAATAATTAAATCTTATGGAAAATTATATTTGATTTTTTTTATTGTCAAGTCAAGGCCCGTTTAATTTTTTTATATCTTAGAGTATATATTTCAATGGAGCTTCATTTTTTTCAGATATATTAACAATTTCAATGATATATTAATATCTATACGTTGTACAAAATAAAAACCGTTGCATGTCATCGAGCACGTGCGTTGATTGTAGACAGCATTGTTGCCAGATTGTAATCGGAAGAGAAATATTTTTGAAAAATTTACTATATCTAAGATCTATTAAAAATTCTAAAATAAACTTTAAATTGTTAAGCACAATTATTTATTTATCATTCACATTATCATCAACAGTTTTAAATAGTTTCAAGCAGTGCTGAAAAAAAAAATAATTTTAAACAAAACATGTTTTTTTATTGTTTAAAACAAATTTTTATGGTTTTAAAGAAGATTGTAAATACAAAGTCGAAAATATGTTTACAACACTTTTATACTCTGTTTTAAACCATATCATGTTGAGTAATGACAAAGCCAAAGGACAAAACTTAATTCGATTCTAGAAACCCTAATGGTGCTCCTCGAAGTAGTAGTACAGAGTTAATAGTTTATTTAGACAATATTAAGTTGAGCTGATTACTCTGTTTTTTTATTCCTTTTGTATTCTAGTTGTTTCTTTATTTTGAAAGAGTTTTTCTCATTTTTTATTGAAATAAACACCTACACACCAAACCTATTTAATACTCTGTTTTAAACAAATATTTAAAAAAAGTAATGGTGTCTTAAAAACATTGTTTTAAACATTGTGTTTAATTAATAACAGTCTGGTTTCGGGCAATTCAAAATATTATCTATTATAAAGAGTGGTAAATGATTATAAAATATATAGGCAACTTTTTGAAATATTCCAAGAATTAATAAGTATTTTCCATAGAAGATTAGTAGGTTTTGTTTCTCAAAATAAAAAAAACTCACTTCACTGGTCTACTTTAAAATACTTTATTATAATATAACGGGCCGTTATTGTCCCTTTCTTCCTCAAAATATTGTATCAGAGATGACACTAATTCTTGGCACCGACTATTTAACTGCTTAGGCATTTTTCAAAGAAAAAACTAACAACTACTACACAAAGTATTCTGAAAACAACAGTTTTCGATCGATAGATAAAGGTTTTAAAAGATTCAATACACACGAGACACATCTCTCAACTACCATCAGAAAATTCTGGCAAATGTCAAATAAACGTGGCACCGCCGCAACCGCTTCTTCGCCGTTGCCAACACAATATCGAATGGGAGATTTAAAACTCATTGAAAACGTCCCATAAGGGCCATATTTGTGTAGTGGTAGCACTGCACACATTTATTAGCCTAATCGATAGCCCGCAACGGTTTTTATTTTGTACGACGTATAAGTTGGTATTGTCAAAGTTTATAACATTAATATGTATTGTATTTCATAAATGTTGGCTCTTGGTGGTTGAATTCAGAATCCATGATTGCGGAATTTTGAAGTTACACATAGCAATCACATAAAGTATAGTATGTCATTTGGGTAACAGACTTTGCCTACTGAAATGTGTGCCAAAAGGTATTGACTTCTTATAGACGTGTTAACAAAATAAATAAGTGCTCATTAAACAAAAAAAAAACATGTTTTTTTTCTGTCAACCGAAATAATATCGCCTCTACTATATCGTAGTACAATAATAATAAGTATACAAATAGTTATTTGTGTAACTAGTGCAAAAAGAACATATTTGTTGCAGTTGCACGACGCATGAGTTTTGCAGCTCGTGAGGAAGTCGAGAGTCATGCTGAGTGCAAGAAATATGCTTTTATTTTGCTTTTGCCACAAATATGCTGCACACACAACATTTTTTCTACGATTGAATTGAACTTCTTATTTAAATGTTTATTAAAAAGCTTTTACATTAATTCACAGAATAATATTACCACTAACAATGATACTATAACCAAATATTATTTTTATTTTTTAATAACTTTTTTTGAGCTGCTTTTAATTTCAACGTCGCAGTTTGAAAAATCCACTAAGGTAATTGATGGACAAACTTCATTTCCAGTAGTCTTTTGAATTTTATTCTCATTTCTGGTCGTGGAGGTCTCGGGCTCTTTTTCTTCACTTAACACTCTTTTCCGGAATGTTGCTGTGAGGTGTCCAGTACTATACTTGGTTTACCTTCCAGGATTTGACAAATTTTTATGAAAATTTACAAATTTTTTCTCTTTAGTTAAACTCGTTAATAATAATGTCAAGGTATTTTTTGCACTAGTGTAAAAAAATTGACTTTTAATACAGTAGATAGTGTAAAAATAGTCGGACAATAAAATACATTTTTCTGAGATCGTGCAAAAAGTAGCTATTTTTTACACAAAATAACTCATTTTTTGCATAAACACCTTTACATTTTTAACGACGAGTTTAACTAAAAGTGAAAAAAAATATATATTTTTGTAAAATTTGTCAAATTTTTAGAAAATTTTGTCAAATCCTAGAAGGTAAACCAAGTAGCAATACTGGGCACCTCACAGCAACATTCCGGAAAAGAGTTTTATGTGAAGAACAAGAACCCGAGATCTCCAGGAGCAGAAATAAGAATGAAATTCAAAAGACTACTGGAAATAAAGTTTGTCCATCAATTACCTTAGTGAATTGTTCAAACTGCCACATTAACATTAAAATGAACTGAAAAAAAATTATTAAAAAAATTAAAATAATATTTGTTTATAGTGTCATTGTTAGTGGTAATATTATTCTGTGAATTAATGTAAAAACTTTTTAATAAACATTTAAATAAGAAGTTCAATTTGATCGTAGAAAAACTGTTGTGTGCAACATGTACAAAAATCATATTTGATGCACTC